GGACATGTGTTCAATGGAGTAAAATCCATCATGATTAAGGCCGAAAGGCTGGATGGTCGCATATATCTACCACCTCTGTAAAGGTGGGCATGTGTTGAAGGGAGCAAAATCCATCATGATTAAGGCTGAAAGGCTGGATCGTCGCATGTATTGACCATCTCTCTGAAGGTGGACATGTGTTCAAGGGAGTAAAATCCATTATGATTAAGGCCGAAAGGCTGGATCGTCGCATGTATCAACCACCTCTGTAAAGGTGGGCATGTGTTCAAGGGAGAAAAATCCATCATGATTAAGGCCAAGAGGCTGGATGGTCGCATGTATCGACCACCTCTCTGAAGGTGGGCATGTGTTGAAGGGAGTAAAATCCATCATGATTAAGGCCGAAGGGTTGGATGGTCACATGTATCGACCACCTCTGTAAAGGTGGGCATGTGTTCAAGAGAGCAAAATCCATCATGATTAAGGCCGGGAGGCTGGATGGTCGCATGTATCGACCACCTCTCTGAAGGTGGGCATGTGCTCAAGGTAGTACAATCCTTCATGATTAAGGCCGAAAGGTGGGCATGTGTTCGAGGGAGTAAAATCCATCATGATTAAGGCCGAAAGGCTGAATGGTCGCATATATCGACCACCTCTGTAAAGGTGGGCATGTGTTCAAGGGAGTCAAATCTATCATGATTAAGGCCGAAAGGCGGGATGGTCGCATGTATCGACCACTCCTTTGAGGGTGGGCATGTGTCTAATGGTGTGAAATTCATGGCAATTAAAGGCGTGAGCCAAGTCGTTGATAAATGTGGGATCACTGTTTGGTGATAGAATAAGTTTATAAACAATGAAGACAGTATAAGGGGTAACATATCAACAGACAAACAAACAGAAAAACAAAAAGAAAACCAACAAATATGGTCAAAAAATTGCATTCATTCAATAAACAGAGTACAATTCTTTCAAGCGAAAATAAGAGTACAAAATGCTCAAGGAGCAGGCATATTTGGATTTGAGGAGGCTTGCTCAGCGTTAGCATTAGGATCAGGAAAAGTTTGCTCGAGGGTCAGATCAGGCTGCTCGACTTGTTGACTCGAGCCAGTGACATGTGTCATATTTACGTGCATTTTATAGTGATTTTTATGTCCGTTTTGTCGTAGTTTGATATATAATAAATTATTATTTAATTAATTATTATATAATTTATTATTTAATTAATTTTATTAAGCTATGACGAAGGTGTTTTATCTTGTGTTTTGATAGAAAATCGGTTCGTATAGTTATTGGAGCCGAAAATTGTGCGAAACGGATATGTAAAGAGTGCAAGCCATGCATGTGGATGAGCCCAAAACCACAGCCCACTTAGAAGGCTAATAAGGCCCAAGTTCTCAGCCCAAATATTCAGCCCACATTTTCATTAAATAAGGGCAAAAGAGTAATTTATGTCCACCTACCTATATGTCTTCTTCCACGTTGAGTAGCAAGGAACAACCCGTCCGCCATGAAAGACAGCCAGAAGCTTCGCAGCCAGCCACCACGCCACTACCTAGCCACATGAGACCACTTTTCCGACCGTCGCTGCAAGAATTTCGACGTAGAAGCAGCCTGGACGTCGAGTTCGCACGGAAAAGGATGCTAGAATAGCCAGAATTTCACGAATTGGAACTCGCCATGGTCGGCGACCTATACGCCTTTCGATAGCTGGGGCGCCGGACGACCACCTTGGACGCCGTAAACTCGACTGGGAGCCACGAACCGAGCTGAGAATGACGATTTGGTGTTGTTTTGAACTCCCAGGTACACACGGGTCGTGTAAGCTAAAGACACGAGTCATGTCGTTCCGAAGGGTCGCGAATCCTGCTCTCGGCATAGACACACGACTCGTGTGACCTATGACACGAGTCATGTGGGTCTGGACAGGTCAGAATCGGATTTTGCGCATTTTTCTATTTTTACGGTATTTTCGACCTATTTCGACTAGGACTCAACCTCAACTATTTAAACAACACTAGGGCACATTTTTGCAGAGTCTTGGACATATTTTTCAGATCTTTGGAGACCTTTGGAGTTTAGAAACACGAGCAAGACAAGGGAGAAAGCCGGGAAGAAATGATCGACGGAGCCGAATAAGCTTTTTCTTTCTTTTTCTTTTCCTCTTTCGAACTTAATGTTTTATATTTATTTTTCCTATTTTGAAAGCATGTTTCTAGGCTAGATTTATCTTAAATTCTAGGATTTGCTAGTACTCGGATTAATTTATGATTTAGTTTTTATTTCTTTCATTTCGGTTTATCATTCGTTTATGAATTTCTTGTGCTTATTATTATTATTGTGTTAGTAGATGTAACGCCCCACTTTGATTTTAAAGAAAATAAAAAAAAAATCAGATAAAATTTTTCAAAATTTAATTCAATCATTTGTGGCGTTACTCATTTATTTCAAAATCATTTCAATATTTATCAATCATCAAATTCCCAAACAGGGATCCCATAAATTCATCAATCACCCAATAGGGTTCCAACACTCATCATAGTACTTAAGGAGCATTCTCCTTAACATTATTCCAATCATCAATAATATCCAAAATTCCTAATATCCCTAAATCATAAATTCCATAATATCCAAAGTTCATAAATCATGATATTAGTCATAAAATTCATAAGTGTACAAATAGCGGAAGCATAACAAATAATTAACCGGTCTTATGGACCGACCACCACTCGCTCTACTCCACCGTCGTACCTGCCTCGCTTAACCTGAAACGTTAATTTCAGTTGGGAATGAGCACAGTTGGAAAAAGTAGTGCTCACCACTATGTAGTAAACATTATTCACAATAATGAAACAGTAATCAATAATCAATAAGGTATGGTCTCAGCATGTATACGAAGCAATAATCTATCCCATTCTCCCGTCAATAATCACAATGATCAGACTCATGTGCACACCTACGCATAGACTACTGCTGACTATATATCGAATGCCCTCTGGTCCTACATCGAGTGCCAGCCAGTAGGAGTAAACCACTACTGCAGACTATATATCGAATGGCCTCGGGTGCTACATTGAGTGTCAACCAGTAGGAGTAATCCACTACTGCGGGGTAAAATACCGAATGCCCTTTGGGCTTCTATCAGTGCCCAAGCCAGTAGGAGTAAATCCTCAAGGGAGATTACCCAATGGGTATGTTCTATAGCTATGGGGATAACCGTTCGACGGCCGGTACAACCCACATCGAAGGCTACATGGTTCAAATATGCATACATTGATCATACCACAAATTATACATTAATAACATTTACAGCATAGCAAATTTTAGAATAACAACTCACTTCGATAACAACAGGAGATAATACAGAAGCACGTGTAGGCGGAAAACACAATCATACTTAGTCGAACTTGATTCGGCTAAGTTGTTCGTGAAGTCCTGTGGACATTGGAACACTTAGACTCGACACTAAGACTCAACCAAAACACATGGGAGTTCACATAATCTCAATCAAAGATTGAGCAAGTCAAACACACAAAGAAACAGAAGGCGAGTCGATTTACAGTTTTTATTGCAAAAGCCATATATTTGAAAATACTAGTTTTCAATCACAAAAACAAGTTGGTCAGGTTATCAAGTGATTTTAACTCTGAAATTTTAACCAAAATTCCACCTCCCAGAATTTAGCAATACCACAAATTTTCAGCCCCAAACTCTAAGTGTGCTATTTTATAAATTCGGGCAAATTTATGGCAAAAACAAAAATAAATTTACATCTAATCTTAATGAATGAATCATGACCTGATATTTTACACCACATACTACAGCATGAGAGTGACAACATATCAAAATTTCAACCCTGGACACTAACTGTGCGAATGTTTAAAATTCCTACATGTTTCAGTAGTTATTGAATTTCAATTAAAACCAAACCAAATTGAACTCAAAAAATTCTCATCTTTTAACAGCATGGAACAACACATAAAACAAGTACTCCAGCCAAGTTTCAAAAGTTTTCAACATCTAACCGATTTATCATTAATAAAACAACTTTCTACAAAATCAAAAAATAAATTATTTACCCTATCACACTTCGGCCAAAAATTCTAATAATTTTACACAGCATACAAACATAACAGAGGCATGACATACTCAAATTTCAGCACAATTGAAGCACGGACCAATTTATTATGCACTTAACATGTTTCTGACCAGAAATCACTTTATTTATTTAAAATAGCTACAGGCCTTGAAAAATTAGGAAATGTTTACACAAGCCAGATGTTCAACAGAAGACATGACCCTCAAAATTTCAATGCAATCCGACCAGTACATAATTTTTAATAATTCCAACACTAAAACAGCGGTTATTCAAGTTTGACAATTTCTAAGACTCGATTTACGACGAATTCGTCCAAAGTCTTCGCCATAAGACTAAGGACGATACAATATTTCAATCCACAACGACTAATTCACGAGTTGACCATGTCTCGTTCGATTTCTCAAAATCAAAAAGCTCGTCAACACACAATTACATAATAAGCACATAAAATCATAGGCTTAAATATATATATATATATTCGTTACAACCAAGTACACACAACATAAACGATACATAAAATGTAACGAGACGGGTCGAGCCTTGTACCGTTCTCGAGAATCGTTCGAAAAATGGAACAGACGTAGGTTGACGACTAACTCGCGGGGTGAACGGCTCGTCCGCTTGCGCTTGAGCTCGCCGACGGAACTCGCTGTTGGTCGTGGGCTGAGAGTGGCGCCTCGCGGAGGAGCAGGTCGCGACGTCGGGTTGCTGCGTTCGGGGATCGCTGGAAACGGCGCTCAGTGATGGTTTCTCGCTGGAAGTCTCGATGTGCAATTCGTCGGACATAGGTTTGGTTCTTCCCGTCGAAAAAACGTCCATCCACCGTTCGGTCGGGTCAGATATGATCTCTGCCAATCGAGGGTGTTCATAATCTGCTCGGCCCGCGATTGTTTGTCCTCGACCAGTTTCTTGCAGCCATCAGTCGATGGGGCCCTTCATCTGCCAGAAGACAAGCAGTCGGTCGCCGCTGTCAGAGGGGTCACCGGAGGTGTGAGTTCGAACTCGCTGGGATTAGTGTATAGGGGAGGACGAAAGCAACTGCTCGTGCGGAGGTCGTCCTCGGAATCTGCTCAGCCACGGTGGCTCGTAACTCGGCCGTGAGTGGCCAACAGTCATCCGCTGGGCCTGGTGGCTCGTCGATTTCAATCTGGTCGTCGGGAAATAGGGTGCAAGTGATCAGATGGCGACGGAATGGAGAATTCGCAGAGGGTGACGATGGGATTTGCAGGCCCACGCGGTGGACAACTCGTCGGCGGGAAAAACGAGCACAGGATGTTCAGAAAAATATGAGGGGAGGATGGTGATCAGAATTTGAGAGATTAGATGAACGGGACGATGATTTTTGTCTGTTTTGCGATCGCGCGATGAGGAGGGATGGGAGATTGAGATTGCGGCGTGTTGTCGATGAAGGAGGAAAAGCAGATAAAATAAAAGCTGCGGGGTTCCATTCGTCTTGAACAAGAGAGAGAAAATATATAGATTAGGTTTTTGATCTTCTTCCTCAAGACACATCACACACATACACGGTTCGGGTCCGGCTCACGGGTTTGGGCTGGTTCGGTTCGCCCAACGATTCCGGTTTCGGTTTTCACGGGCTCGACTAGACGTAAAATTAATTCAGTTCGGCTCGAAAATTAAATTGCACGATACAAAATAAACACAGATCCCAGCAGTTTCTTTTTTTTTGGTCGAAACGATAGAGATGATATAAATAGAACCAAAACAGTGTCTACAACCAAAGAACAAGAAACTAAAACAGAAACTGAGAGGTACTACGCAGAGTACCTAGAACCTCAACAACAACAAAACTAAGAAAGAAAGAAAAATACAAGGAGTAATGAATCTCTCCACTGCCATAAGGCCTAGCTAGATATCATTATCACCAACTGAAAAAAAACAAGGACACAAAAAAACAAAAAGGAAAAACTAAGGAAGGAAAAGTACTAAAAAGAGCAGCAACAACTACAGCAGCCTAACTACCAACAGCTAATGATGCTTCAAGCCAATCCTTATGAGCTGCAGCTATCACAATGTAGTCGGGCATAAGAGTTGCTTTGAATATCCAAAGGTTGCGTGACTTCCATAGCCACCATAGAATATAAGTGCTTAACTGGATTCTGTCTTGTACAACTTCAGTCTGTTTTAATGAACTAATGTGCTGCCACCAGGTTTTGAAAGAAAAAGTGAAGTCCTGAAATCCTTCCCAATGTACTGGTGCCTTGTCCCAAATTCTGACTGCTCTTGCACAGGAAAAGAGAATGTGCTCTGTTGTTTCTGGTTTTTCCCCACAAATTGAACATATAGCAGATATTTCAACTCCTCTCCTTCTCAAATTCATAGCAGATGGTAATGTGTCTGAAATACACTTCCAAATGAAGTGCTTAATTTTTCCAAGCATTTTCATTTTCCAGCACCTTTGAAAAATTTGCTGTGGAGGGAAATAATTTGTGCTGGCCTCAGGAATGTCCAGCTTAATAAGCTTCTGATCGATCAAGCAGTTATAAGTGCTGGAAACTGAAAAAATGCCCTTTGAGTCAGGTCTCCACAGCAGCCTATCTGGTCTTGATGGATTGAGTGTGTTGATCTTGAGGATTGCAGCACTGTCTTCTTTGTCAAATACCTGTTCAACTAGCCAGCTGTTCCATTCCTTTCCATTGCTTTGAAGCAAATCTTTTACCCAAATCAAATGCCCTCGAGCTAATTCCATCAAAGCTGGAGCAGGCTTTTTTAGAAGTGGAACCCAGTTTATGTCATCAATTCTAGTACTAAGGCCATTTCTGATTTCAGTTCTCACACAGGTAGTAAAGAAGGGCAGTACTGAGAGCCAGCTATTCCACATCCACGAACTTTTTTGAGTCCTCTCAGCTTTGAAAATGGAGCTTTCAGGAAAATATCTGTCCTTAAGTATTTGGCTTACCAGCAGCTCTGGATTTGTTGAGATTCTCCAAATTTGTTTGCAAATTAAGGCCTCATTGAACAGACCTATATCATGAAATCCCAGACCACCTTTGAGCTTTGGCAGAGTGATTTTCTCCCACTTCTTCCAATGTATACCAGTTCCATTATTATCTCCAGATTTCCACCAGAAAGATGCACAAAGTTTTGAGATTTCTTTGCAAACTGATACTGGCAATTTGAAGCAGGACATTGAGAAAATTGGAAGAGCTTGAAGGACTGACTTTATCAACACTTCCTTTCCGGCAGATGAAAGAAGTTTACCTTTCCACCCCTGTAATTTGCTGTTGATGGATTGAAGAATGTAGTCAAAAACCTCTTTTTTTGATCTTCCAATGCCCAGTGGCAATCCAAGATATCTAGTTGATCTATGAGGCACAATACCTTGAAGAATGCTACAGACACTGTCTTTCACTGCCTGAGGTGTGTTTCGACTAAAAAAAATACCTGACTTTTGGAGATTAACCTTTTGGCCAGTGAATCTCCTGTATTTATCCAAAAGAGATAGAATATGATATGCTTGATCAGCTCCGGCCTTGCAGAATAGAAGGGAATCGTCAGCAAATAGAAGATGTGTGATAGCTGGACCATTTCCTGAGAGCTTTAGGCCTTTGATGTTTCCTTGAGTTTGAGCATTGGTGATGAGAGCTGACAGAAGTTCAGCAACCATGATGAACAAGTAGGGGGACAAAGGGTCCCCCTGTCTGATTCCTCTTGAAGGAGTAATGTAGCCACTGACCTTGCCATTCACTTTGAAAGAGATTGATGATGTTGAGATACATACCATTATCAGCTTCACAAAGTCCAGGTGGAATCCCATTTGGATCATTATTCTGTGGATGCTGTGCCATTCTACCCTGTCAAAGGCCTTCATAAGGTCTAACTTCAAGGACATGAAAAAATTCTTCCCAGTTGAATGTCTGTTCAGGAAATGGAAGCATTCTTGAGCAATGATAATGTTGTCCATGAGCTGTCTGCCTTTGATAAAAGCTGACTGATGAGAGCTAATGCAGTCACTCAAGCAAACCATGAGTCTTTGTGCTAGCACCTTGGATAGTGTCTTGTAGATCACACTGCATAGGCTGATTGGCCTAAAATGAGCCAGAGTTTCAGGTTGAGATATTTTTGGAATCAGAGAGATAATTGAGTGGTTCCAATATTTCAAAATTGCTCCAGACTGGAAGAAACTTTGGATAGCTGCAAACACATCATCTTTAACCAAGCTCCAGAAATGTTGATAAAAAAGGGCATTCATGCCATCTTCACCAGGGGATTTCTCAGAGGGCAGGGAGAACAATGCATTCTTCACTTCTTTCTCAGATACTGTCTTCAAAAGACTCTGATTCATATCATCTGAAATAGTCTTAGGAATGAGGTTAATGATTGACTCACCATCCCGGCTTCCTTCTGAGGTAAACAAATCAGAGTAGAAATCTGCTATATGTTGTGCAATGTCTTCTTGAGAAGTGAGTACAGCTCCATTAGGGGTCATCAGTCTGGTAATAGCATTGAGCTTCCTTTTCTGGAGAGTATATGCATGGAAAAACTTCGTGTTGCCATCACCTTCCTTTAACCATTTCAATTTTGACCTTTGTTGCCAGTGGAGCTCTTCCTGTCTATGGGCTGCATTGAGTTCAGCTCTTGTGTTGTTCCATTGTTCCCAATAGTCAGCTGCCTTATCCTCCCTCAGCATCTCCAGCTTCTTAGTTAAGATTTCTATGGTTTGCTGATTCTTGGATCTAAACTGAGAACTCCAATGGAGCAATGCAATTCTGGTGTTCTTCACTTTTTCTTTGAGCTTATAAAAGGGAGTTCCTGTTACTGGTTTGTTCCAAGCAGCTGACACTATCCCTTGAATTCCATCCCTTTCCAGCCATCTCTTATCAAAATGAAACCTTGTTGAGGTTCTCTGTTGAGTTTGCTCCTGACTGAGTAGAAGCAGTGAGTGGTCAGAGGCACTTTTGACTTTAGTGAAAACCACAGCATTGGGGTAATCTAGAAGCCAGTCACTTGTTGCAAATGCTCGGTCAAGTTTTTCCTCCACAAGTCCTTCTTCTTCCCTGAGATTGCACCATGTAAATTTATATCCTTTCATTTGTATCTCCTCCATCTCCATGTTATTTATAAAAGTGTTGAAGCCCCTGAGACTGCGAGCACTCCTCATTAAACCTCCTGATTTATCTTCCCTCATGCATATGTCATTCCAGTCTCCCAAAGCAAACCACTTGTTGCCCCAGTTGGCTTTGTCTCTTTCCAACTCTCCCCATTGAGTAATCCTGTTTTGCTTACAAGGACTCAAATAAACAAAAATTCCCCACTGAGATGGGGCTGAATCCAAAACAAATTCTACAGCTATATAAAAAGATTTCTTGATAACATTGATAATGGTTACATTTGATTCCCATAACAAAAGCAAACCTCCACTTAAGTCAACAGGATCAACACAAGAAAACCTATCTACAAATCCCAACTTCCTAACTACTGAATGAACAAAACCATTATTTTTTTTTGTTTCTGATAAAAAGAAAAAAGATGGGTGATGAGCCTTGATGGTCTCTCGGATTTGGGAAATTTTAGAGGGCCCACCCAGCCCTCTACAATTCCACACCGCTGCTAACATTGAGGGTTTGAGTGCCATATAAGGCTGGCATCCCCCACCTGGTCTTGTTTGCCTTTAAGCTTCTTGTTTACTTCGGAGCCTGAAGGGTTCTGGTCTGAGAGATGTGGAGAAATTGGAGAAACTGCTCTTGGTCTCTTGGAAACTGGTTTATCTTGTATCATCAGCTCCAGCCCTTCATTTCTTTGAAGTCTCCCTTCCCTACTCAGAGCCCTTTTCCAAGTTTTCTGCTTAGGTTCTTGAGATAGCTTTATCGTTTTATTCAGATTAGCCTGCACTTGAACAGGTGGTAATTGTGGTATAATTGCTAGTTCCAGCTCCATCATCTTGTGCTGGTGCTGATCCTCCACCTCTGTGATGCTTAAGTTCAGTGGCTGTTTGACTGGAGATGTTGATGTATTCCTGGCTGATGTATGGAGAGTTGGTGATGCCTCCTCTTGAATAGTATTTGAAGCCACTGTATCTGGTTGAGAGTGCTTTGAAGGGTGAGTTTCAACCTGTATAATTTGCTTCCCCTTATCACTGAGGCTTGAAGGGTTCCTGAGAGGAGAGCTTGGATTTGGAACCTTACTAGATGATGGTGATCTAGATCCTGAAAGATTTATATCAACCCAATTCTGACCCTCCATTGCTTTTATCCAGTCTCCGTACTGGCCTTCATTAACTGTGCTAGTTTTGATGGCGTCCAATCTCTTTTTGCAGTTTCTATCAAGATGGCCTATTAGCCCACAA